ACCTCGGCACCTGGGCCTCGGCGGGCCGCAGCCAATCAAACGGCCTCATTTGCATAGGCGGCCCCGCCCACTCGCCCGGCCGGGGACTGCGCACTGAGAACACAAAGAAGGGCCCCCCGCGGGGAGGGGGGGCCGCCGCGGTTCCCCAGCGCGAGGGCTCGGCATCCGTTTTTGCCACGCGTTTACGGGTCTTCCGTGGTCCCCCCGATGTGGGGTGGGAAGTGTGGGGGCGTCACAGAGCTTTGGGCCAAAATCTCTCAAGCGGTCGGGTCTCTTCTCTCCGAAGTCCTTCTAACCTAGTGCCCTCCTCCCGTTCCAGGGCACCCGGTTCCGCTTCTTCGCCTCAGAGCCCTCCGCCCCCTTCCTCCCCCTCCCCTTTTTCCAGCCGCCCGGGTCCCTGCACCTCCTCCCGTGGGCTGCTGCCCACTACCGGCCGGCCGCTGCACTGCAGCTCTGGTCCGCGGCTTCTGAGCACAGCCGTGACGGATGCCCGGGTCCGAAAGGGAACCCGGACGGCGAAAGGGACCTGCTCAAGCGGCTTTGATACCTAAGGTGGCAAAAAGCCAACACTTATAACAAATATAAACTCCTCGAATCACTTGTCCCTCCTCCTACCTTCGGGTCTGTACTGGGCTACAATGGTGACCGACTGGCCAGCCCGTTTCAGAGCAGCTGCAGCCTGCTCATGAGTCGCATTCCTCAGGTTGACGCCATTCACCTGTTTAAAGAGAGGAGCTATGAGCCACCCCAAAAGCAACAGAGGCCTCCGGCGTGGCAGCTGGGAGGGGAGATGGGTAGCCCGTCCCCCAGCCTACTGGCATGCCCATCTCAATATCCCATCCTTGCCCCTCAGAGGGGAACCAAGGGATATGACATCTCTGGTGTCACAATTATCTCTATGGGGTCTAAGGGCAACCAGATTTCAGATCCAAGAGGCATTCACTTCCTCCTCAAGGGTAGGTCTTGTGTCAGTGCCTGTCCCCCACTGAGGACATCTATAAAAATATATGTAGGGTTTTCTCCAGCTCTTAGCCCTTCCCCCATCTCAAGAAGCATTCCTTGGAGAAAGCGAGGTCTCCCCTCCTCCCTCCGCCTGGCACGGCTCCCACTCTCCCACCCCGCCTTTGTCTCCTCACCGATAAGATCCGGTCTCCCCTGCGCAGCTCCCCACTCAGGTCGGCTGGGCCTCCTGCCAGGATGAAGGAGACGAAAATGCCTTCCCCATCCTCTCCTCCCACGATGTTGAAACCCAGGCCTGTGGAGCCCTTGTGCAGGATAATCTTGCGTGGCTCTCTGGTGGGGAAGGAGCCGAAGGGTCAGGACGAGTGAGATGTTAACTGTCGCCCCTATGAGGGCCAGCCTGGGCCAGGTCCCACGGCTGCGGAAGGACTCCGGTCCCTACGTATGATGCCCCGTTCCTCCCTTTCTCTCCTGGAACCTGCTTGGCTGCAGTTTTCTGCCAGGTGCCAAGTTTCAGTTCCTCTTCCCTCCCTTATTCCTGAGGGCTTGGAGTCAGCGTCCCAGGGGACAGTCCCCCACGCTCTCGGGTCGACAAACCCCTACCCCGGGCTCTGGGGCCCATGTCTCAGAGCCCACTCACTGGTGCTCTTCCTCTCTAGATTCTCCATCCTGCCAACCTGTGCGACGGCCCCCCCGGGCCACAGCGGGAAGGCCGGTCAGGAGCAGTGGACTCACCCTGGGGTCGATCACGCCCCCGTCCACACGATGCACGTACTTAACTTTCCACAGCCTCCCCTGCCACTCGAAATCCCACCCACCAACTCTGACCCCTCCCACCCTTCCCAACGACATAGTCACCCACCACCACCAGAGGTGATGTGGCAGACAAAGAACTCCCAGGTCCCCAAAGGGGTTTAGGAGCCTAACCGAACACAGGGAACGAACACACGAGAACTTGGACTACAAGTAACCATGGCTAGGAGAGCCCTCTGTCAGTGGTCACAGTGTCAGCAGGTGAGGGCGACAGCGCTCAGGATACCCACGCGCCGGGCCTCCGGCCCACTGTCCCAGCCCTCCGCCCTCCCTCTAAGCATCTTTCATCCGAGGAGCCCCAAGTCCAAGACTGCTGCTTTCTCGCTCGGGGTCTCGGACGCCGGGCACCCCCGCCTCCCCGAGTCCCGGATGCTCTCGCTCCAAGCCTTCCTCTCCTCCTACCTGGCGTCCCCTCCAGGCCGCAGCGAGCGAAGCGGCCAGGCCCACCTCTGTGAAGCCCTCCTCCAGGCCGAGGCCGAGGCCGAGCCCAAGCCCAGGGTCAAGCCGGAGCCTGAGAACTTGTGTGCCCTCTCCATGGCTCCTGCGGCTGTGCCCCGGCTGCCTACCCTTCCGGCCCCACTGCAGCCTCTCAGGCCCCACCCCGTGGCAAACCTGTCCCCCGGAACCCCGGCCTGCCCGACCAGTTCCACAGCCAGAGCGGGGCGGAGCCGGTCCCTATTAGGCCACCCAGCCCACCAGCCTCCCCGCGTCCTGCCAGCCCCACCGGCTGGCCGGCTTTCCTCCGTCATTTGCAATGATTGTGGCAGAGGGCACCCCCGCAGCCCCCCACCTCCCGAGCCCCCTAAGCGCTCCACCCCTCCCTTTCTCGCACTTTCAGATCGGGGCCACACTCTTGACGCTCCCCCTGATGGTAGAACTGGTCCCTGCAGCCACCTCTGTCCCTCCCCGCGGCCCCAAGGGCTGAGCGAGGGCCTCAGACCCCAGACAGGGGCGCAACAAGAACCCTCTCCGCCCTTTACCATACGGCCCTAAACCTGCGGCCAGCCAGAAATGGATTCCTCTCCTCGCCACCCTGAGATCGGATGGAGGGGCGGGGGTCTCACCTGGTGAAGTCGTCCTCAGCCAGCATGTGCCTGGGGATCGGGGAGTAGCGGGCCGGGGGAACCTGAGGAGGAGCCGGGTAGCTGACCTTGCTCTCTACAGCCCCGAGATACCCCAGGCTGGAGTTATGGCTTACGTGGTTATCAGCCAAGGCAGTAAAAGCTGCGATCCAGAAAGCGGAGGACATTTCAGAGACCACTCCACGTGGGCCGCACCCCCCCAAGAACTGTCCCTTACACCCCCTCCTCAGATGCAAAAGAGACCAAGGGGCGCTGGTTCCTCAGGCCTTTCTCCCGGCCCCACGGGGTTCCTACCCTTTCTGAATCTCAAGTCAAAGTCTACAAAGAAAGGCATGACTAATAGT